GCTTTTATAATTCTGTGGCAATTATCCAGTCAGACAGAATTATGTTTTAATCATACATTGTATGTGTAAGCAGAGTGTATTGAACTTGGTCCTTGCCACAACAGGGTCATCCTGCTTGGGCTTTGGAAATCTTCTGCTTATCCTTGAATTTCACTTAGAGATCAAGGCTCAGCTGTGCTCCTGTGGTTCATGTTCTGAGTACATAAACCCTTCACTTCTGTGTCAGCACACAAAATACTGCATAATCCTATCTGTGATATTATCTATGACCATGGCTTGGTTTTCTGTATTTTTTACATTATGTTAGAAATGCTTTGTAGCTCTGCCTCAGGCCAGTGCTCAGGACCACAGTTCCAATGTTCCCATGTTCCAACCCCTCACAGCTGTGAATTTGGTAGAAGAGAAAGCCTGTGGAGCTTGCTACTACTAGCGGGGCCGTGGGAAAGGGAGCAGGTACAATGTGATGATACTCTGGTGGCAACAAAAAAGAGGTTCCTTAGTGTTGTGCTGCTTGTCCTCAAGTTGGTAACAGCTATTTAAAGAACATAAGAGCAATTAACCCTTCTTGAAGGAGGACAGCATTTTCTCATGTGACCTAGACACAGAAAAATACAGTGCTTACAGATTATTTGATGGGAAGCTGAGTGGAGGTGCATACTGTCTTAGTATTTCATAATTTTTATATTAAAAATTGTCTATATATTAAATACCTAGTATTTTGGAATGGCATTTGCAGAAGCTCCAGTGCATAACTTTATTTCTGCCTGTCAATCTGGAAACGACAGTTTCTTTACCTCTGAACAGAGTTCAGTGATGTTCAAAACGTTTGCATTTCTGGTTAGTTATCTGCTTCCTGTTTTCCAGCAGCGTGTGCTGGCAGAGAATCAGCTCTCTCAGGAGATGTCATAAACTTCAGTACCTCTTTGAAGCGGGATCTTTGGGAGTAGAGCTCTGCTGCTTCGCACACGGTGCTGCATTGTTCAAAACCACTGTTTCTGTGCATCCTCACAGCCTGATGAATCAAGATGCTGGGAATAGCTTTGCAAGCCAAGGATGTCAGTAACCCCTAGGAAGTTGATAACTTCTGTAACTTGGCTTTCTTTCTCTTCCCTGCTTGGCGCTAACATTTGTTTTAAGATGTTTCAAACTCTGGGATACTTCCAAGAACATGTGTTTCAGCGAGGGAGTTGATGAAAATTCTTGCATGTTTCTTTGTATTTCAAATATAACCCAGAGCCATTGTGAGTCTAGGCTAATGCTGTTGGGAAGGAGGTCAATTGTTACAATATGTGTACTTAGTGTCCCTCAAATTTAAAGGCATTTTTGTAACTTTTTGGGAAGCTTTAATGTATCCACTATGTGTCATGCACCTTTGAAACTTGGAAGGAGCAAATCTGAGAGTCACGGTTTTGCTGTGTCCCTTGAAATCTGCCCAGCTTTAATTGGGGCTAAAGTACTGAAAACCCCTCCTCCATGGTTCAGTTCATGTGTCTCAAAAAGCATCAGTGTACCAAAGTAATATCCAAACAGTAACGCTCTAGCCTGGGGCTGGGCCACACAGCAGCATGCAGACACTGCTGAGGGTTAAATGCGAACAGCCCACTGGGGAAGCATGAGCTGTTAGGAGAGCTGCGTCAGGCCGTTCCCTGTTTCCAAACCCTGTACCGAACCCTCACAACACAGCCACTCTCTAGCTGCCTGTGTGCACTGTTTGTTAGCGCTCCAGTCTTGCCTGTCTGCACTTTCTGGCTACAAAGCCTAACCAGGAGCAGGCTGCTCTGGACACGCATTCTGGCAGCAGTTGGCACCCAGCTCTCATTACCCTTCATGTGTCAGTGGTTTATTCTGTCAAAAGCGGTAAATGGGCTCATCTGCCTTGGTTCTGTATGCCTGTGGGTGTACCAGTGCTGCAAACTGGGGGCGTAAGCTTTGCTTCTCTTCGGTGAGATAGTGGGCTGTGCAGAATCAGACTCTACTTTTTCTTCTGCTAGCCCCAGATGAGAGCCATATATACGGAGGCAATTGAAGAAATCCGTTATGGAGTGTGTGAAAGCTGAGGGTGCTGGAAGCTTAGGGATGGGTAGCTTGTAGTGGAAGGCTACGTTGTCTGTCCCAAGCTTTCTGGGTGCCGGTGTTATACTGGGCTGGGCCTTGGTTTGCAGGGGTGCTGAGGTCTGTTAGAGACACAGGTGAAGGGAGCTGGTCCAGCAGGGAGCAGAGGTGTTTTGATGTCCTCAGTTTTTCAGGCACCACCAGTCCATCATCTTACACACCCAACCCTTGCCTGGGCCACCTCCAGCAATCTAAAGCCATCAGCACCGTCTAGTAGCCCTCTCAAGCTGCAGGCTCTGAGGTGCTCTGTTCCCCTGAGGGGAACAGACAACTGCAAAGGACAGTTCAGGCAGTCTTCCAGGCAAGTCAGTTGCTCAGAGATGCTCAGTCAGGTTGAGGGTGCAGGGTGTTGATGTTTTGGCTGCCTGATCCAGATCTTTTTTTATTTATTTTGCCAGCACATAAACGGTGGTGTTCTATCACAGTGAAGGTGACATTTTAAAATACTTGTGACACTTTTGGATGCTGTGATAACAAATGACCTAAGGAGGTGGGGAAAAAAAAAAAAGGGGAAGGTGACTAATTCTGCAATCTCTTCCCTGTGTGAAAAGGACAAGTCAGGGACAACTGACCGAACACACTTATCACCTGCTTCTCTCTTTTTGTGTGCTGGATGGCCTGTGGAGGTGAAGAGGAAAGCAATCCGCTGTTGGGTAGCTGTACATCTACTCCTGAAGCCCTTGCAAGAGGAGGCCTATCCAGGGTTCTGTAGGTGACTGATGCAGTGGTACTCCCAAGCCTTTGAGAGCACTACTGTGATGTCAGTGAGTGCTTGTTTCTTCCTGGCTGGCCAATTTTTATACGTAACTCAAACCTCATCAGTGTAGGTGACACTTTACGATAGAACAGTGAGCTGCTGTCTGGTCCAAAAAGGCTTCTGGCACAATGGCCACACATGGGTACAGCTCAGGATAAGGGAGAACACAGGGAATGAGCTCTGTTTTGCTGCCATCGGTTAGCAGAAAGATTCTGTGCATGGCTTCCGAGGTACCTCCTGCGGCATAAAAAGGCGTAGGGAAGTTGTCATCCCTGCTTATGAGTTTTGGCAGCTGCTGTGGCAACAGTAGCTTTTCCCCACAGCTCTGTACCATGCCTAGAAAGGTACATGTTAAACTGCTGAGAATATTTCTGGTGCTCAAATGGTCCTTGAAATTTAGCAAGAAATCCCTCTTCTGGGCTGCAGATGAAGCAGGGCATTTGTGTGCCTCAATGTGAAATGTGCCATGAATCTGTCACTTCAGCTGATCCCAGCTGACCCTAAGTGTTGGACAGGCTTAAAGTGAAAGCAGGTTTTAGCCTCATAAGGCAAAGGGTTAAAACACACAAGATGGGAAATTATTGCAAAAAGGAAAAATAAAGGAACATAGAATAGGCAACAGTTAATACTTATGAGGCATGGGACAGTGGCTTCTTTGGAGCTTATTTAAGAATAAATCTCCTCAAGAACAAGGTCTTCTTGCAGAGCAGCTGCTTAGACCGTTGTTAACCTTTTTCTCTCAAGAAGTAAATTGAATTGCAGTTATAAAACTGGCAGAATTCATAATGAAGGCTTTTGGCTTTGCTCAGCACTTCATGTCTGGGTTTACTGGCATTTACAAGGCACTACCTATGATGCATTCACACACGTGATTGGATTCAAGGGTCACTTGCACTGCAGCAATGTAGCAAATTTTTCCACAGTGGAATGAACCTCTATAAAGTTCTCTTTTGCTTCTTAAATCTTGCCCTAAGTCCAGTTACTTGAACTCTGCCCAGCTGTTTCTCGCTCTGTGGGACACTTGGAGGCAGAACATGGGAAGCGTGCTGCAGGGTTTAAGGGCAGGCCTCTGTCACCATGCTGTGATGGAATAGGATGGATGGGTTGGCTGGTTTTCCATGCCCCAAAATATCTCAAGAGGGATCTTTGATGTATTTTCTTTTGTGAAGTTTGAGAAGCTGATGTGGATTAAAAGGGAAAAATCTGGATTTCTTCATCTTTCAGCCAGGCAGATACATGGCGTTAGCAGCAGGTTTTGAGGCTCTTCTGCCTGGTCACTGTGACCTGCTAGAGGAGAGGAAATTCTAAACAATATATATGTTCTGTTGTCAATACAGTTTTCTCCATCTTGGTTTGTTTTTATTTGAATGGTTATTGAAAATTATACAAGAAAATTTGACATGTGCTATGTCTATACCCATTAGTCAGGACAGGGGAGATGAGATGCAAGGGGAAACATAAAGTGCCTTCAGCACTCCAGGCTTCACATAGGTAAAGAGGGTTTTTTAGAAATGCCTTTGAAGTATAACTAATTTTAGGCTAGAATATTTGGTCCTGCTGCAGCAAAGCTCTGTTCCCCATAGTGTTGATGGTGTATCTGTGTAAAACAGCCAAAATCAGTGCGCTCTTACTGGCTTCCAGGGTGCCTTATGGGGCAGCTTTGTCCCTTGACATTGTACCCATAGTACAGTGGGGTGTTTGCATTCTTCATTCGTTTCAGTAGGAGGTCTTGTGCTTTTTTCCATATCAGGCTAATAGGAAAGTCTGGTTGTTAGGTTACCCCCAGTCTCTAGTGAAACAGCTGTGGGGAAAAGATAGCACCAAGGATTTTCTGGGCCTCTCTCTTGGGGAATCTCTGTTGTGTCACTGTTCAAAAATATCACCAGTTTGATGTCTGCCAACTAGATTGTACTACTGGGATAACAAGCAGTATTTAGCAATCACAGAAGACATACCAGAGGTGAAACTGAGCAGTGTTCTCTGCCATTGTGTAACAGTCTGTCTTCTTGGTTTTGGTAGTTTCTTAATTCCGTGGGTGTTCGTAGGTGGAAGTCTGCCTGTGTGCCTTACCTATTGTGCAACAGGTGTCTTCCTCTGACGTATCCTTCATGATGTTTTCTCTTTTTTCCAGATTGTCCCCAGCCACCGCAGCCTGAGAATGGAGGCTATAAATGTCACCCTAGCCCCTGCAACAACCCTCTGACTTCAGGCAGTGTCATAGAGTATCTGTGCGTCGAAGGCTACATGCTGAAAGGAGATTATAAATACTTGACCTGCAAGAATGGAGAGTGGAACCCAGCCATGGAAGTCAGCTGCAGGCTCAGCCCGGGTGAGTGCTCCTAGACTTCAGTGGGACAGTCAGAACTGCCCTTGCATTGGCTTTTCAGATTACCCTTAAATACTGAATCAGTGTGATGCTGAGGAGTCCATACAGCTGCCTCTCATTGCTCCAGCAATTTCATAAATGCAGCTCACAATCACAGCTCTTTATTAAAAACATCTCTCTGTAACAGCCCATCAGATACAGGCTTGGGGTCTCTCACGCAAGGAGAAAACCCATGGAAAGGAGTATAAAGGAGGCAACTTGTTACTTATGTGGAGCCTCTTATTTTGGCAGCTGTCATTCCAGAGGTGAGGGGAGGCCCTAACTGGAGCATTTTCCATGCTGTCTGGTTTTGTTCCTGATGAGTTTGACAGTACCTCTCCCTCAGTGGTGTACCCGCCTGTCCACATGAGCACCTGTGTGTGTGTCAGTATGTAGAGCACATCTTCCTTGCCAACAAGTTAAGTAACTGTTGGCCTCCTGTGGCATAGAGCTTGATGGTGCTGCTTTTCACTGTATTGGCAGGAAAGGACATTGCTGACAAATGATTTCTGATTCTCTCCAAATGGAAGTAGACAGTTTTTGTTTTGTGGGGCTCTCCCAGCTGAACAGGAATTCCTCCATCAAAGCGGGAAAGTAAAAAAGGGTTGCTGGAAAATGTTTGTCATACAGCTCTTACTTTGCCTACACCTCTTCTGGTTTTAAAGTATGTGTACTAGATAAAGGGAGAACTCCCTCCCCAATTCGAGTTTGGCTTGTTGATAGTGTCTTACTGCTCAGTCATCGTGAGTCGGCAAGATGCACACTCTGAAATTAAGTCTTGTAATCCATAAAGCAAAATGTTACGCTTAACAGAGCTCATCGCATGCCTGTGATCTCGAGAACATCTTGTCCTGTCCCAAAGACACTGTCTTCTCAGTGTCTGTCACAGCCACTCCTGTGATGTATAAGGAAGGGATCTGGGTGTTTACCTGGCAGCAGCTGGATCCAGAAGAGGCTTTTAAAATTCAGCATAAGCTTCCATTCCACAGTGGTCCCCCTTCTTCTTTCTGCACCCAGGCTGGAGAGCAAAGCTGTGCTATTGCAGATAGTGCTCCCTGGGTGGCATTCTGGCATGGTGGCCCTTGTCCTACATCAGAACTGAAGAGATCATGTTGTGATGAGCAGAAATTCCTCAGATTTCACTAGCATCCTGAAGGATCAGTGGCCTTATCAAAAACATGGGGCCTCGAAAGCCACATTGGCTCCTGTACAGTCACGTGGCACAGCTGAGTAAGGCGTAATGTGAACAGGGCACATGTATCTAACACTGAAAACTCAGCATCCTGAAGCAACAACCCTTCTGTTCCCTGGCAGATGTTTGTGTGAGAGAGAAACTGAATATTTGCTGTGTCTTAAATATACCCAGCCAGGTGACTTACACCCCTTTCTTTGGGAGGCTGTTCCTTTAGCCAAGAAAACCCATTATTTGGAACTTTTCCTATTGTTCGGCCTAAAATATCCTGCTTATTGTGCTAGACAATAATTGTCCTTGCTAGTGACATCAGCACACTTTTTTTTAGTTTTTGCTCAGCCAGATCTATATATAGCATAACCCTTACCACCATCTATCAGTTCCTGTGGCTTGCTGGTGCTGCTTCTCTGGTTGCCTTGTGTTTTCCAAAGGACCCTTGTATGTGCATGTTTTATTTTAGGTTCCCTTTACAGCTGGTGGAGAGGTGTCAGCTTGAGCTCTGAACTGTTCCCTGTAAGAGATAGCAGGTGTGCCTTGGCTGCATGGGAAAACTGGGGCTCCCCCCATGTGCACCCAAGCATAAGTCCTGAGGGCAGGCAATGTGCATGTCTTTCCTTCCTTATGACAGTGATTTAAGGGAGTGGATCATTTTACCTTGTGTTCCTCTTGGTTTTGTAGAAAAGGACTCTCCTCCAACAATTGGAGTACCCACGCTGTCCATAGTAGCCTCCACAGCAAGCTCTGTCGCCCTGATTCTGCTCTTAGTTGTGCTGTTTGTTTTGCTGCAGCCAAAGCTGAAGTCGTTCCATCATAGCAGGTAAGCGTAGCTGGGATTTGCAGGGGCTTAGGAGCATCTTAGTTGCTTTGTGGTACTTGGTTTAGGCCTTCATTTTGGAGCAACTTACCTCCTCTCTTCTCTGCTCCTGTTTTAACCACCTCAGTGGCACCTCTGCCCCATGGCCCAGCAGGACTCTGAAATGGTGCTCTGCCATACCCAGCTGCAGTCTCCATTCTAACATGCCACCTGATGAATGGTTTCCTTGCTCTTTTGACTTGTCTTTGAATGTGAAAAGTTATGTTCCCTACTAGCCTGGCTACAGATCAGTCTCCTGCCTCTTCTAGCTTTGGATAGCTGCTGAAGGATGTGTCTGGGTATATATATGCATCTCCCCCAGTCTGAGATCCTATGGACATGAATTCAGGCAGTGCAGCTGATCAGATACACATGCATATCTGCTGTTGTTCCTTGCTGTGGCAGAAGAACCTCCCTGTCACATGTTTGTGGGTGAGAGGAGGGACCCAGCTGTAACACTGCTGCCAGCTGAGGTCAACAAAGAGACTGTGGACTCTCTTCCACACCAGCTACTAGTACTGCTTAAGTAAGAGCGGAGACATGGCTGTCCAGCAGTGGGGGGTTGAGATGTGGGGTCCTGGAATCTGCTCTTTTCAGAAGAAGTCCAAACCACTGGAAAAGGAAAATTCAATCTCAGGACTCATGACTCATGAGCCTAGGTGATTCAAATCACACTGTGCCAATTAGAGCTGTCTGCCCCACCCCGACAGAGGTTATCTTACCTGCAGCAAAGGTGGCAGAACAGGCAGTGCTGGGTGTTGCAGAATATAGCAGTGGAACAAGCTGAAATCAGGGGTGGTCAGAGCTCTTTTTTTACTTGCCAGCTGTGACAGCATAGAGCTCATGATCTTTGCCAGATTTAGCTATGGAGGCAGGTGAGGTGGGAAGCACTGTAACCTTTTCAGCTCTTGCTGCTAAATCCATCGGGCAGTGTGAATTACAGCCCCTGCTCATGTTTATGGCAGTTCACAGTAGGGCTGCAAGGCTGTGCTTGCTTGACCTTGTTAAGCCACCATTCATGTTTCTGTCTGTTCTCTCCTGAATAAGTTAATGGTGAGCATTACAGTTCTGCTCTGGGAGGTTACTGGAGTTCTTGGTAACATATATATGAAAATATAAATGCTCAACTTGATTTTTTTTTTTTATTTTTTTTCTTTTTTTCCTCCCTCTTTCTTTCTTTTTTTGAGGCGAGACCAAGGTGTGTCTGGAGATCAGGTCTCTATCGTGGTGGATGGTGTCCAAGTGGCCTTGCCATCCTATGAAGAAGCGGTGTATGGCAGCACAGGGAACTGCATTCCACCCTCGGACTCCCGAGTGCAGATCGTGCTCTCAGAGGGAGCTGGGCAGAATGGAGCCAGAGAGATGCAGCAGCAGGATCAAGGGGCTTGCAATAGCTTTGACAGAGAAGATGAAGCTCCCGGACGTTCTGGACTGTGTGAAGCCAGTGGCTCTCAGCGCTCTGAAACTGTTCTTGTGCATCAGGCTGCTACCTCTTCCTGGGTAGCTGGCATGGCTAGCAGTAGGCCTGTACACAAAGAGGTCCAAGATTCAGAAAGCAGTGACATACAGAGCCTTTTATCACTCACTTCCTCCGAGGAATACACAGATGGTACGTGACCTGAGCATGGAGCACTGAACAAAACCCTCGTAACAGTAGGTTCTGCATTGACTGCCTAGGATGAAGGTGACAAGGAGTGCCCCTATGTATGTCAGACACTGAGGGGCTTTTGAGAAGAGGTGTCCCAGTCTCCATGGCATGTTTCGCAACTTAGATGTGCAGGCAGAATTGAATACCTTCTTCTGAAGTATGCGGCGCACTCAGACTGGGAGTCTAGGCCAGTCTGGAAAGGGTGTTGGGTTCTGCTGCTCACTGTTGTTGTCCTAGCGAAGGATTTGTAGTGAAATGACAGCCTCCAGCATCATAGTGCAAATGCAGTAAAATAGCTGTGTTTGTGGGAAACAAGTTGGTGTGAGCGGGAGGATATGCTTGGAATGCAAACCCTTTGTGATATTTGGGCTTCTTCATTTTTAGACTGTTTCAGTAAGCATCTTACTGCCACAGTGCCTGCAGTGCTCCAGCCTTGGCATGTGAGGAGACCCAAAAGGGGTGTGCTTCACCTCACTGTACAGGGCACGAAGGGCAGGTCTGTTAAACACTCAGTGCAGCTTGTGTTCTTCACTTCTGCCCTGAAGGAGTGGCTTTATAAAGCCAGAGTGGATGTGAAGCTGCAGCTTAAGGTTGCTTCTGCAGAGGCTGCTTTGTCTTAGGCAAGAAGCATAACTGCCTTGTAATAGCTCAGGGCAGAACTTCTCCTTTCCATGATGTCAAGCCCTACAGCCATAGTAATGCCACCCAGAACCCCTGCAGTAAAAAGTTAAGGGGCATTTCTGCTAAAGGGCGAAATGGCAACATGTCCTGAGATGGGCATTAAATCCCAAGTATGTAAACAGCAGAAATCCAAAAGTGAAGCTTAAAAAGATGTCTGCAGTGTAGAAATTTGAGGATGTTGCCTCTGCACTGTGCCATTTTTATCACTGCCTGGAAACACATATTACCTCTAAGGCTTGTTGTACAGTAGCACATTGCCCCTGGCAGGAGACCATAAAGCTTGTGCTTATGGCTCAAAGGTGGGGGAACTGCAGCTGCGGGAGGAGGCTGCATTTCTTTAAGTTAGAGAAGGGCAAGTGGGATCCTTGTATTTGCAACCAGCCCTGTCACAGTAAGAAACATGTCTTTGACATTTTGAGGAACTAAAAGATTGGTGAGGTCAAGAGAAGGGAAGAAGCTGTCTTTCTTAAGGGGAGTTATTACCTTCCCCTAAACAGCATTGGTGAGGCTTTACTGGGAATGCTATATCTTGTGGGACCCCCCCAGTTCGAGAGATGTGGAGAAACTGGATGGGCCCTGTTGGAGGCCTGCCAGGATAGCCAGGGTCTTGTGGGGAGCGACTGAGAGAGCTGAGCTGCTTTAATCTGGTGAAAAAGCAGCTGAGGGCCAAGCCAACAATTGACTACACTTACTTTACAGAGAGTTGAAAAGTCTTTGGCTCCAAACTCCTCTCAGCCAGTTGACATAACATGGGGCAATGGCCACAAGCTGCAACTTGGCAGATTCACATTGGGCATTAGGAAAATATTTTGTGCTAGGAGATTAGTGCAGGACCAGATGGGCATGCAGAGAGGTTGATGGAGTCTCTGTCCTTGGAGATTTTCAAGGCTAGAGTTGGCAGTGGTCCCACTCACAGGGGCAGGTTGGAGCGGAGTCCTCCAGAGGTCTCTTCTGCTGTGTTGTGATGACAGGAACCACCACTGCATTATCACGTTATGGAAGCAGGAGCTTGTCTTGCTTTCAACAGTAGCTTTTCTGGTGTGTGTTGAACTGCAAAATTTTCATTACTTTTTCTTTTTTTTTTTTCTTCTTCCCACCATTCAGATATTCCTTTACTGAAGGAAGCATGAGGCCTGCTGTGTTTGTCTAGCCTTCTCCCTCTTGGATTTCTTCCTCCGCCCCTCCCCCTGCCTTCGGGACAGAAGCACTCTGTGCAGCCTTCCCCGTCCTTGCAAGCTGTGCCCTGGATACCTCCAAGCAGAGACGCCCTCAGCTGAAGATCCAAAGGATGTTGCCAGGTTGCCTCCTGGATGCACCAGTGGAGTTGGTGCAGCGCTGGCTTCCCCATTCCATCAGCATCAGGGGCTCAAGGAACAGAGTGGATTTGAGCTCTCCTCTCCTCTTCCCCAGCCAGATGTTTGACAGCAGTCTCTGAAGAGCTGCTCTTTTCTTGTGCCTTTCTCCTCCTCACACCGGCTTGTTGCAGCTTATCAGCCTCTCTAGCCCTGCTGCTGCCCAGAGAGCAGGGGCTGAAACCGCTTGCTCACTGGGTGCAGACACAGTTTATATATACGTATATATGTTATATAGGCTCTTCTTCCAGCATCCTCTTTGTGATAGGGCAGGATGAAACACCTCACTGGGACTGAAGCTGGGCTTGGGAGGGATCCCAGTTCAGGGGCATCTGCTAGGGTGCTGAAAGCTAAGTCCAACATGTAGGAATGCCCTCTGCCCCCTTCTCAAAAAACATCTCTGCAGGAGTCTGTTTCTGAAAATCACTTTTGTGTCCTCCAGCCTTCTCTACTCTTGCAGCCCACTTGATTATGCTGTGTTTCCAGGAGCTGGGACTGGGACTGTACTGCCAATAAAACAACCCTTTCAGCTTTGGTTTGGCACCAGAGCAGCTCCTGGTGTTAGGTTGTAGAAGATCCTTGGAGAATGGCTAGTGGTTAGCAGAGTTCAGAAAGCTTGGAGGATGTGATTTTTCAGTTAACCAACCCTGTGTTAACTATGAGTTAGCCCCATTCACTGAAGCATCAGGACTGGAACCAAATTTGTGGCCCTGCTTTTCTGAAGGAGCTGTGTGTCTCAGCTTTTTCAGTTGAGATGCTTCTGTACTAAAGCTTGGGTTTCTTTGGTCAGATCTTCAGGCAGAGGTAACGCTTTTGAGATGTAATCTGGAAGTGGTCCAGTGTCTGGAAATATCAAGAGAAAAAAATGCCCATAGGTGGTGAATGCCTAGTGCCATCGGTGCAATCCAAAATTACCCCTCCGGCCACAGTAGGTACCTTGGTGCTTGAATCCTGGGTAGCTGCCATCTCAGAGGCTAGTGTGTCTTCCTAGCTTCATTCAGCAAGAGTGCTGTTTTATCCTCACGGGCTTCAGTGGGCCCACAGAGAAAGGCTGTTTCCTTGGGTGGGGGGGCCAGCAGCATTTCTAAAGTCTAAATACAGTGCAGTTGCCTGTTGCTGTGAGAGAAGGTTGACTACAGTGACAGCAGTGCCAGAGGATACCCTGGCTTATTCCTGAACCTACGTTTTGAAGATTGCTTCAAGTTCTGATAGCAGGGAGAAGAAAATCCAAAAATATGTATACCTCTGCCCCCACCCCGTTATCTACAGCAGGTCAGAATATCCTGGTTGCTGTTAACAGGTTGCTCTTTTTGCAGGAAGCCACATTTCTCTGGGGTAGGTGATCCAATCACAAAAGCGTTGTGCTGGTTGTAAGGTTTTTTACCAGGGAGGTCTGGACACTGTTCCATGGGATTGGTTTCAGCAAGAAGAGTTGGCTGCTTGGATTGCATGTACCTTGTCATAACTGTCTTGAAGTAACCAGGGAAGTGTTTGCCCTGTGAGAAGCTGCTAAATTTTTGAGTTGAAGGAGCAAAATGTCATGGCCTTACACATTGTGTGGTAATGTACAGGTAAATAGGGATGCTGTCTTCACTGCTTTGCTTTTGGTTTATGATCCTTGCCATCCTCATCCTTGTTGCTCCAGGAACGTACTGTCACAGCATGTGGTAGAAGTGACACAACACCTTTATGTATAACATCACTGTGGCTTAGCTCTGGTTCCTGGAAATGGGGCTTGGCCAGATTATCCAGCCGTGTACCTGCTGCTTCTGTTCCTGATGAGCTCTTGAATCCCAGGACACCTGGGACAGCGCGTGCCTGTGGATGGAGGAATCCTATTTTCCCTATCCTTGTTTTAGAGGGATGTTATTAATTTTAAAATACAGTATTTTAAAATTCCTGCTATTGCTCATGTGACCTTGCGTTAACACCAGGATTTGATAAATCCTGTCCTGGTTTAGGTATTTTTTTTGTTCAGTTTGGATGGTGAAAATCCCATGTTGTTTTACAGTGGGCTGTGGCATCTCAGCTTCAAGCACTGGAGAGGGCAAATGTTGTTTACACATCTGCTATTGGAATCTTAGAACATAAGTGTGGGAATGTTTGTATTTAGTTTTTAACTCTTACCTTGAAAATGGTGTAAGCTTGAGCAAATTGTCTCATTCACTGGTTTATCAGGGCAGATAGAGGGATCGAGCGAGTGTAGTGGTAAGGGAGTGTGGAGGGAAGAATACGTGACTTCCTTCCTGCTGCCTAACCAGCTCTGAGGAGGAGGAGTTGCTCTTTATGCATTTCAGGTCCTGTCTACTCAAACTGACCCTCAGCAGTCACGGTGTAGCAGTCAGGTACATGCTACCTTCCTGCAATGGACAGTCCTTTGACTCAGTGTTAGCACCAGGTTGATGGGAGAATCCCATAGCGAAGCTGGAAGCTGATCCCAAGGCCTGACCTTGCCCTGGATGGGCGCCTGCTCTGCCAGCAGAAAGCACATACTGTGTAGCCCTGCCTCCTCTCTCTGCTATTGTAAAGCAAGCCAGTTTGGGAGAGAAAATTCAGTTTGGGTGTGGAAGAGAAGGAAGCAGGCTACACAGAAGAGGGAGTGTTCCAATTTTCTTTCATTTATAGAAATTGTGGGAAATAGCTTTACAGAGGAGAAGGGGGAAATGTGGAGGTGGAGGGAAATATGCAAGTGTAGATCTTGTGATCAGGCATAAACAGGCAGCTTCTGTTGGCTTGCTGAGGGTAAACCAGCAGCTCGCAGGCCAGTCTCTGCTGTGCTGGCTGGTAACCCCAGCTGGTGCTTGCAGCGCTTGTAGAAGAGCCTGTCCCCTGCAGCAGCACTTGTGGGAACGGGCCCCAAGGACCTGTGCAAGCCAGAACATGGGAAACCATTTGGGGGCATCACATTCCTCTTGCCCATGTCCTCAGCTCTAAAGTATGTTTTCATACAAAATGAAGTAGAATGGCGGGGGAGGAACCTGAAAGATGGTCTGCTTGACAATTTTTTTAAAGTGGGAGGGGGAGCGAGGCCTCACTCTACTGATTATCATATCAGGTGATTGTTAATCATTTGTGTTTGGTTTAATTCTATAGAGGCTGAAGGATTGGGAAGTATTTTGGGCAGGGATTTAGGAAAAACTAAATTGCACAGTCCTGTTTTTACTTAAGGGAGCAAGGGCTGAAGCTTAAAGATCCCTCAGTTGTGAGCTCTGCTCTGTCTCGAGAGCATTCATTACCTCTGAGCAAAGTGTGTCCTCTTTGGCTGTTGCCATAGGTCGATGCAGCCTGGATCTCAGTGTGGTGGATAGGGGAGCACAGCAGTTCAGCCTTCCGAGATGTAACGCAGTAAATTTTTTCTTTTTTTTTTTTCCTGATGGGGACACAGCCTCCTTACCTTTGTTCCTGCCTATGTCAGGCAAAAGAATTCAAAGGGAAGCATTTTTTCTTAATTAACACTCCTGACATAATCATCTAATGCTCTGTCATACATGTTGGCTCCTGTGATATTCAAGAAAATTAAAATGTTTTAATTACATTGGAAAAATAAAAATAGCATTTATCTTAAAGATTTCTGTATTTTTGGAATCTGATAGGTTAAAAAAAAGGGCATTTCAGTAACTCAGAATATTATGTGCAATAGAAAAGCCTCCTTGCTCCCTTTCGGTTGCATAATTTTTAAAAAAAAAAAAAAAGTGCAGCCTACTGCAGTGTTTACAGCCGAAGTGTTGCAGAACTTGACCAGCCTGAGAGAACCAGAAAGCGAAGCAGACAATATCTGAAGGGGAAGCAGGGCAGTCTCCTGTCAGAAGCTCAGCTCAGACGATGAGCCAGCTCGGATTGTGTCAGAGCCTCCTGCCACCTTGAAGGGGGTCGGCAGCATTGGCGAGAGATGGTTTTGTGTGTTCTGGTTTTAAATAGCTTGCATGTCCCCATCATGAACTGCAGAAGATGTAAATAAGTCAGGAGGAAAGATGTGCTGCAGCGTGTGAGCCTGTGGAGCTGTTGCTGAGTTAAAACTTCATGAGTTTGGGAGAGATAAGAGCTTAATGCATTTTTATCCTTTTTCTTAACCACCAGGGAACTTGCTGTGTAGAAGGATGCTTACTCAGGCAAGCATGCTGCTTGTTCACCCCTTGGACGTGTCCCCTTGATTTTCTCCTCCAAATCAGGTGTGATGAATCGTTAACACATCTGGAGGGTTTATTTGACCTTTCAGCACATGGAGAGGTCAGGTGTGTGAGGAAGAAACCTGTTCCATGTGTGTTGGGAGGAAGCTTCCTAAGATGCTCCCAGAAGTGGATGTCTTGGGTCAATACTGAGGAGTGGGGCTAAGGGAGCAGCAGGCTCAGCTGTTGGAAATAATCTGGGATGGTTAAGTCATTTGCAGCACAGAAAAGGGAACGCCAAGAAAGGGGGTAAGGAAGAGCTGTGACTGAAAACGGGTATGCTGCAGGCTAATGAGCTAATGCGTTTGTGACCGGGTTGTAAGGAAGCTTGTGCTTTGTTTAGATGATTTAGCAGACACCAGCAGGCTTGCTGTGTAAACAAAAAAAAAAAAATTAAAACTGGTTGGAGATTTCCTTGATGACCTTTTTAGAACATACTTGCAAAACCTGGTTTTACTGTTCTGATAGCAGTTGCTTAAAAAAAATCTAAAACCTTGCCTTATTACTCTACCCAGATAACGAGAGTAAATCAATTTCACTTTCTGGTTTCTGTATATAAATGCAATAAATCCCATCCATTTTGCACATCCTGCCCCACCCCATCCTCACCCTTCAGTCCTTACCCAGAAACTGCAGATTGAACTTGCTCTTTGAGAAAACCTTTTTTGCAGAAGAACTTAATTAGAAAACATTATTCTCTATGATACGCTTGGAAAGTGCGGAGAGGTTTCCTAGAGCAGGCTTCATTTTAAGGCGTATTTTTATACAGGAAATAAGCCTTTTTCCAATCCTTCATCCTGCCTCCTGCCCTTCCACACCAGGACGGAGCACGCCGCTTCCCGCAGTTCTCTTCAGGGCCCTGTGTTCAGCACTGCTTCCAAACTCGACCTTCTGCAGATGATTTATGGATACCCACCAGAATGGTTCCAATGATGCTCTGCATACGCTTTCTGTAAGCTCTGCTTTTGCTTCTGTCCTCAAGTGAGCAAGGACAGAGGCAACTTGAGTTGTGCTGGAAAGTGGGTTAGATCCAATTCTCAAATTTGTGTCCTTCCAAAAGAAAAGAAGGTGAAGTTGTCTGTGAAGCAGAAGTCCTGTGATGCGGTGGGTAGACTGCTGGTATTTGCTGATGCAAACGCAAGGGGAGCTTGATTGCCTTTGTGCATTAATCTTTTCTTCTTTCCTTTGTGTTTTCTTTTTATCTGAATTGCACCACTATGGAATTATTTGCAGAATGGTACTCCATATATATGTGGGATTTAAAAACACAACCATAATCAATGCTGTGCAGGATGTCACTCAACTGGTTTTATTTTGCTTTATTTTATATATATTTTCTGGTATCCTGTACATTGCAGTGGGTGTGAAGATAGTATTTTAATATTTGTACAAAGTTTAATTTAATTGTTCTATGTATATAACTGCATTTCTAAATTAAAAAAAAAAATTTCTTTTGAAGTGAAGCTATAATCTCTTGTGTATTTTTTTTTTCTTTAACTGCTTGGGCCTTGTAGACTGGAAATCGAGCAGATTGTTAGTGCAGTGCCTTCCATGTGAAGATCAGGATGAAGCTAGAGCTAGGGATGTTCAAGTGGCTTGGGGAGGGAGGTACAGGGTTGGTGCAGCCTTAGAAGGATCATCTGTTTCAAAAAATACCCTCCACTCTCAGAAGCAAAGGCCACCCTCGGTGTGCCTGCATATAACTGCGTGCGAAGTTGAGCCAGGTTGGTGCAAGGCTGCTCTGGGAGAGCTCTGAGCACTCAAGTGCCACCAGGATCTCTTGTCTTGTCTTGCCTGATGCTCACAGCAGTTGTTTTGAGCAGATGCTCCTCAGCCTGCCTGTGGAGTCTCCTAGTCTAATGCACAGGCTTGCTGCACGAGGCTGAGCAAGGGATTTGTTTGCCTTCATTTTCAATAGCACTGTGTGTGCATGTGTAGCAATTTACTGGTTGTGGTGCAGAAGGACCCCCACAAGTGCTCTGACCCTTCTGCTCCCCCAGATAAAACGTAGTCTGTGCAAGTCTGAGTTACTTAGGAGCATGCAGCAATGATCTGCAGCGATGGAGAAAGGATGCGAGCCGGGAGGAGGACGTGGCAGTTTCTTGGCTTTCCCGCAGCAGCGGTAGCAAGCGTGTGCCCACTGGGCCAGGGCCTGAGGAAAGGCAACAGCGATAAGGCAGGAGGGGCTGGATGTGTCCGGAGATGTGGGCTTCGTGAAAGCTGGGGTGGGCCCTCAAAGAGGGAACAAAGTTGCATCGGGATTTGATGTAGGGAAAGAAGAGGCGTTTTGAGGAGCGTTTGCAGCGCCATCTGCCTGGTTTTCTTACAGTCCGCTGCTTGCTGGGCTTGGAGCCTGCACTGGCCACGACGGCACCAAAGCTGACAGCTGCTGCGGTGTCTCCATCCATCATCCATCGGCGGGGCCCTCAGGAGCCGCAAGTCAGGGGAGACTGGCCAAGTTGTTAACCCTGGGAGAGGGGAAGGGGGGAAGAGATGATGTCTGGCAGAAGAGGACTTGAGAAAGGAGGAAGGGGTGAAGGTAATGAATGGCTAATTAGTCTGAACGCAGAAGTGAGGCTGGGTGCAGGCTCTGCTCTTCCCTCTTTCCTGATGGTTGTGCTGTACTGGGAGGATGGCGGCAGCAGCAGAAACTGGAGGAATGGACACTTCTGTTAGTGCTACATACAGTCCTTTTTTATTATTGCTGTTTGCTTTGCTTCAAAGACCTAAGGTAACATTGCCCTTGAGGCAAGTGTACAAATGAACGTTCCTTTCTTTTAAGGTAATCTATTGGTAGTGTAATAGGAACGGGAAGGAGAGAGAAGACCCTTTGGCAACTTGTTCAAAGCAAAGTCCTTGAAGTTATGAGATTTTTGTATGCTTACATAGATGATTTTATCCTCTGCAGAAGAACAGGCAGGTTAAAAAGGGAAGGGGTGACATCTACTTTCTGCCCATTTCCATTTATTCCTTAAAATATTCCCACAGTAAACTGATCTTGCTGTAGTTTTGTCACTGTGAAACTGGAGCTCTGTGGCCTGTGCCTGCCCTCCCGTAGCAGACAGTTGGCACGTGGGAGTCGGTGGCCTCCAGGATTTGCTTTTAAATTATTATTGTTTTTCACTGGGCTGTGGTCTCCTGCCACAGCAATTCTGGCAGCCAGGAACGTGCCCAATGTGGTTTGTTCTGCACCTCTTATCTATTAAACACATTGGGAGTTATTTGTCACCTCTGGTTTGTGCCTGCAATGACTGTGGGAGCCAAGCCCGAGGGAAGCCAGCCTGAGGTGGGTGGTCTGGGAAATCCTCCTTAACCGTTGGCTCTTTGGCTGAAGGGCGGAAAGGCCAGGGCCTGCAGGAAGACCTCCGCTTCCAGAAAAGCAGCCTGGTCGCAAAGACACCGGCCCCGCCACAAAGCCGCTTTTGCTCAGGAAAGGGGATAGATGGGCTCCTGCCCTCACCAGGCGTCCTGCCAGCTGGCGCGCTATATGCCCAGCTCCCAGACAGGATGTTCTGTACGTGTGGGTTTTCCAGGAACACACCAGCCCCGTTACAACCACATGCTTTAACTCTTTAACAGGACTGAGTGCATCTGGAGCCTTTCCTCGCCACCTCTGGCTGCTGCATGCAGCCATGTCCCTGCTGGAAGGCTTTGTGGAGCGGGACTGTGTTATCAAATCATCCCTTGATGTACTGTAGCCTTGCCCCTTCTGGAGACATCCCCTGCATTAACAGCTCCCCCAGCCTCTCACCTGTTTTTAAGGGTGTCACAAAATGCAGATTCCCTCTCCTGAAAGCAGAAGAATGCCAGCAGGTTACATGCCAACAAGTCCTATGCTTCACAAAACCAGAGTTTGCACTCTCCTCACCTGCCAGGGCCGTGCCAAGGGCCCCTTACAAGTGCAGCCACTGGAGAAGAGAGCTGGGACACGCTGCCAGCCCCCATCCCTCATCGGCTGCGGTGCTCGGCGAAACTGCAGTGGTCTCTCTCAGCACCAAGCTGGCATCTGAGGGTGCAGGGAAGGAATGGAAAAACATAACGGACTTCTGATTCTCTCTTCCCTTTTGCAGGAGGAGAATGTTTACCAGCAACCTTCAGTGAGAGCTGGGCTGGGACGCAGCAGAGCCAAGGAGCCCTGAGGGTACCTGGGCATTAGGTGCTTGTCCTTTGGCATCTCTCTGTCATCTGGCCTGCACTGAGCTCATGGTGGGTCTGTGGTGGACAGTTCAGGCTTTTCATGTTACATTCATGGGGAAAAAAAGGCAAACCAGATTTTGGGACAAAGAGGGCACAGACTGGTGCCAACACACTGGTGTTGAGGGCACAAACACTCTTATTGGCTTTGAAACAAAGAGGTTCACTCAATGGTCAGGATCGAGTATAACTGTTCAGCAGGGATTCTTTATTTGAAACACTGGGGATCCCTCACCACAAGTACCACACTTACTAACAAAACTCTGTAACATATACACAAAAAACGTACATATGCATTAGATTTCTTAGAAAAGGCACTTAAGCTAACGGGTTCTTAAAATTCATTTGCATAGTCATGAGCATGTGTAGTTAAAATAGAGTGAGGGTCATCTTCCCTCCTTAGGGGTCCACACAGCCTTTCTCACACTGTCTGTTAGTGAACTTCAGGTTTCTAGTGTCCGTATATGGTCACAGAGTTACTTCGTTCGTCCTTCAGCTCCTGTTTGTTCCAAGGTGGTTAGTTTAGTCCGGTTTTCAGTCACTTATCTTGACACTGGCGTCATCTTGGGCACTTGTTTTCTTTAGATGCCTCCTATTAGGGATGTACTCAGGGAATTTTTTTCAGACTGTCCAAGGTCTGTCTTGTCTTTACTAGGCAAGGAGTTAAAGGTTTTAAAACATCTTACAAGTGGGTAACTGGGTAACGACTACAGAGAGTAGTTATGAAAAAGTATAAATGAGATTATATACATTAGAGTAAAATACAGGAAAAATAAACGCGAGTAAAATACAGGAAAAATAAACGCTAGTAAAATACAAGTGATGTCTAATGTTAAAGCTAAATGTCTTATATTACAGGTCCTTGTACATTAGCAGTTTCAAGTATACTTGTAGCAACTTCCCTCTAGCTTCTCCAGGCATGCTGCTCAGGTGTCCTTGTAGCTACCTTAGGGGGTGGTGTTTGATACCACGCTGTGTTTAGCAGCTCTGCCTGTCAAGTGGGCTTTGTCCTCCAGGCCTGTGGATCCCAAGTGAGGCTGGGGGACCTGCTTCATTGGGCCAACATGTCATCCCTGTCCCCACACGTGCCAAACCACAGTGCCCAGCAGCCCTGGGGCTGTCAGATGCTGCTGGGTGCAGGGCTGAAGCTCTCGGGGAAGGAGGAGGGAGCCACAGTGGGCTGGAGCATGCTCTGGACACCTGTGAGCACCGAGGAGGCCTCAGTGGCAGGTGGGTGTCTCTCCCCAGCCATGTCTAGGGCTGCCACCTCCCCACAGCTCAGCAGCAGCTG